GTCCCTGCTCAGGGGAGGCGGGACGGAACCAAGGGAGCCGGAACCTGCGGGCCGGGGGACGGGAATAGGAGCCGGACGCGGAATTTCCGGCTTCTTCCCGGGTACCAACGTGGGGGGAGGAAGCAAGAGGGGCCATAGGGGCGGGGGAAGCTCTGGGATGATTGAGGCCGTAATAGGCTGTAGGGGTTGGAAGGACCTGGGGTGGCTATAGGGGGCTCTATAGGTGCCAGGCTGGGGAGAGGCCAGAGGGGGTTGAAGGACAGTGGGCACCGTTCTATAGGGGGTGGCTCTAGGAGACTGGAAATGTGTGAAGCCCCTTATGGCTCCCTGGGTCTTCAGAGGGTGACCTCTGGCCGCCCTGCAAACCTAGCCAGGCCCTAAATATAAAGGGGGTTGGATTTCCCCTTTGGCCCTGCCTCCTGTGGCAGCAACAGCCACAAAATCACCTTCCGGTTGTTTCCTAAGCCAGGACGGAACCGTCTGCTTCCCCGAGCGAGTGAGTCCTGCTCCCAGGGAGACACCTGTAAGGCCGGAGTCTGGTGAGAAATTTGTAACCCCTCCCCCAGCCTGCCCCAGTTGAGTCGCGTCACCAACCCCACGCGAACGGAGTCCAGCTCTCCCAGATTTACCCCCGTGGGAATTGCCACAGGTCCCAGCCGCTTGGGTCCCGTTATGGCGTTTCCTGAACCGAAGCCCCAGAAGACAGAGCTGCCAAAGAAGCTGGTGCAGACTCTGGAGTGCAAACAGGGAGCAGTCAGGGCAGTGCGATTTAATGGTGAGCACATCCTCACGGGTCCCATAAAATGAAAGAGTGGGGACTACGAGATTGGAATGGGAGCCAGGACTCTTGGGTTCTGTTCTCAGTTCTGGGAGCGGGGTCTAGTGGTTAGAGCAGTAAGTCAGCGCAGTGAAGGCTATTTAGGGACCCATTGTTGCCAGCATGTCAAGAGCTTAGGCCAAGGCTTCTCAACTTTAAAGCCCCAGGGGCCACAATGATACTCACAGCACATGCCGAGGGCCGCAACTTAAATGTAGTTTAATGTACGTGCAAATATATGGGGCATCACGCAGCTTCTTTCACACAGTGCCCCGGCGCTCCCGACACCTCCTCCCTGGGGGCTAGAAACACTGGCACCCTGTACCTGTCTGTTCCAGCCAGCCCGTCCACTTGCATCTTTCACCCCACCTGGGAGACGCCTCGCCGTTTGGAATGTGTTCCCAGTGGAGGCCACGTTCAAAGGATCCCACCCGTGGGCCGTGTGTTGAGCCCCGTGTAAACCCCAACTGCACCACGGGCTGCGTATGGAGTAGCCCTGGCCTACGCTGTTAGGATGTTGCCTATTGTGTCCTGGTGGGAATGAGGGGAGTCTGTGTCCCCGCGTAGGTCTGCTCTTAGGTTCTCCCATCATTTTGGGGAGCTTGGGGACAGCGGACGAGCATGCATGAAGGAGTTGGGCTAGCAAGGAGCCATGCAGAGGGAGTGGACATCAGAGAGGAGAGTGCAGGTGTGGGGTGGAAATGCTGGATGTGGGGCAGACACTGGCAGCTGTGCTCTTACATGGTCCTTGTGCATCGTTCTTTGTCCCGTCTCCCACAGTGGATGGAAATTACTGTCTCACCTGCGGCAGCGACAAGTCCTTGAAGCTGTGGAACCCCCACAAGGGGACCGTCCTGAAGACCTACAGCGGCCATGGCTATGAAGTGTTGGACGCAGCTGGGTAAGGGCAGGGGGTGGACTCCACTTCTCTCGTAACCGACAGGATTTCAGGAGTGAAACCACTTTAGAGTGTTTGGTTTGGAAGTGGTTGGGGGGGGGAGGAAGGGGTTAATGGCAGAGGCGGAGTGAGGACTCCTGGGTTGTGTTCTGTCACTGATTTGCTGTGTGGCACCTCCCCCTTTGGTGCCTCAGTTTCCCCATCTGTAAAACAGGCACAACTACACCGACATGCCAAAGAGATGCAAAGCCTCCCTGCACGGCCAGCTCCCCATGGTAGAGCCTAACCTTGTCTTCCTGTTTCCCCCACAGCTCCTTCGATAACAGCCAGCTCTGCTCCTGCGGGGCTGACAAAACGGTTGTCCTGTGGGACGTGGCCACTGGGCAGGTGATCCGCAAGTTCCGAGGCCACGCTGGGGTGAGGCCCGTTTGGTTATGTCCGTGCTGCCTGGGTTGGGGGTCGATGCATGTTCCCATCAGCCAGCCAGCCGGCTACGTGTTGGGGAGGGGCCCAGCTGCCCTCTCCCTGTCCCACTGGGACTCGGCACAAGCCACAGTGCAGCTGGATGCTCCCTCGCTTACTACACCAGTCCTGGGAGGGTCCTTGCTCCCAGCCAGGGACTGAATCGAGGGGGGACTGCCTAGAGGGGTGTGTGAGCATTGCAGGGTGGTGAAGCAGCAGGGTTGAGTTGCTTGTAGGGGGCAGCTGCAGGGGATGGGATGGGGGCAGTGTTGGTGTGGCATGGGAGGGGGAGATGCTGATGAGCTGGGGCAATTGCTTGGGGGACGGCCCAGCAAGTGCAGGGCCCCATGCTGCAGCTGCGACTCTACTCAGCCCCGGCTGTCTGCCCACCCCCTCTCTCCACCCACAGAAGGTGAACTGTGTGCAGTTCAACGAGGAGGCCACTGTGATCCTGTCAGGTGAGCAAACCGGCTCAGGTGCCCCAGCTGACTCGCTAGCCGGGGGCTAGGCCCAGCGAGGGCCTTGGCCAGGCTGTTACTCTCCCTCCGCTCTGTGCTCCCTCCTAGGCTCCATCGATTCTAGCATCCGGTGCTGGGATTGCCGCTCACGCAGACCCGAGCCCATCCAGATCCTGGACGAAGCCAAGGACGGGGTGTCCAGCCTGAAAGTGTCGGACCACGAGATCCTCTCTGGGTGAGGGGGGCACCACTGGGGGAAGGGAGCTGAAGGGAGCTATAGAGCCCAGTGTGAGTTAGAACTGCTGGAGGAGCCAGGCACAGACCAAAGACTCGCCGGAGCTGGGAGAGGAATTCCCTCAATCAGAGACACGTGGCCTCAGGTTTGCCCTTTGCAGGGTGCCACATGTGGGAATGGAGCTGGTTCAGGGGCTTGACTCCCTCCGCTGCCTGTATCCCCAGGCGCTGCCCTGGCAGTGCCTCCGCTGGGCCTCACTTTCTGTTTTCCCTGTAACCCCCAGCTCTGTGGATGGCCACGTGCGGCGCTACGACCTGCGTGCAGGGGAGCTGTGCTCGGATTACGTTGGAAGTAAGTGAAAGAACGGCTGCCCCCGCAGAGCCAGGACAGGCCACGGCCCTAGAGCAGAGCCTGGGTAGGAAACAGCCGCCTGGACTTGCTGGAGAACTCCCCAGGAGTCCTACACCAGCATAGGCACAAATGCCCCCTCGGGATTAACCCCTTCACCCTGGAGGGGGCACCAGCTCCTGTTACCCCAACGTGGGGGACAGGCAGGCAAGGAAATGAGTCACCGGCCTTTCCCCACACGGGGCACTGGCTTGGCTCTGGCTCCAGCCCCAGCGCAGGGTGTTGTCTGGTTCAGCTTTCACCCACCCCCACGCTTCTGCTGCTTTGTCCGTGCAGGCCCGGTCACCAGCGTGTGCTTCAGCAAGGACGGGCAGTGCACGCTGGCCGCCAGCCTGGACTCCACCCTGCGCCTGCTGGACAAGGACACCGGGGAGATGCTGGGAGAGTAAGTGAGCCCCTAATCTCCTGGGCAGATTCCCCCTCCCTGCCCCCAGCACGGGGCAATCAGTCCTAGGTCCCCTCTCGCACACGTGTGTCTGTCTGGGGTAGCCCTCCCACCCCATCTGGGTACAGACACTAGCTGGTCTTGAGCACCCCCCCTCCCCCCGGCTGAAGCTCCCAAAGGATTTAGGCACCTGCCTCACTGAACTCAGTCCCACCCCTCGGCCATGCCAAGAGCCAGCCTGGGACACTCACTACCAGCAGAGGCAGGAGGATGCTGTATCATCCGCACCAGTGGTGAGAGCTGGCGGGGGTCCAGCGGGAGGGGTCCCTGCTCCCCCCCTGCAGACCTGACTGGGCTGCTCTGCTCCAGATACACAGGCCACAAGAACACGGCCTACAAGCTGGACTGCTGCCTGAGCGAGAAGGACACGCACGTGGGCAGCTGCTCGGAGGACGGGAAGGTGTATTTCTGGGACCTGGTGGAGGTGAGTGGGGCTGGGCTGGTCTAGGCCCCAGCCCTTCCTTGCCCTGGGGTCAGGCCCCTCCTCCCCCCAGCCCTTCTCACTCTGCTCTTCCCCTCCCCCACAGGGCTCCCTGACACTGAGCCTGCCAGTCAGCCGGGGCGTGGTCCAGTCCCTCTCCTTCCACCCCAGTGAGCCGGGCCTGCTCACTGCCACCGAGGGCCACGTGTGGTTCTGGAGGGAGGAGTCCCACGAGGCGCAGGAGCCGACGCTGGGCTGTTGAGCCAGGGCAGCTGGCCCCCAACCCAGCCAATCACACGCGGACTCAGCTTTGGGGCAGCTGCTTTATTGAGGCATGGCTTGGAGTCCGGCGCAGGGATATTCTAGACTCTGCGGGCTGCGTGGCAGGCAGGGGTGGGATGAGCCGGGCTTCTTGCCCTACACCACAGCTCAGACCCCAGCCATGCAGAAGCCCAGGCCCTGCCCCATGACCCTACAGCTCCTATTTACAGCCGCATGCCCCCCGTTACCACAGCCCGTGGCAGAAGGGACCAGGCACTAACATTAAAGCCTCTCCATGGATGAGACCCCCTTGGCTTTGGGGTTTTATATCCCCCAGCCCTCCCATGGTGCACCCAGGCCCAGTGGTGGCACCAGGCCTGGGCACAGCACGTGCCAAGCCCCCCCCACACACACTTGGGCACAAGCTGCCATCTGGGCCATTCCAGCAGCAAGTGACCCCCACTGGAAGGACTCAGCCGAGCCAATAGCAGGGGCCCAGCTCACGTGTGGGGCTCCCCCCAGGTGCCCTAGAGCTAGGAGCATCAGGCCTCCTCCATTTACTGGCACGAGGGGCTTTCCCCCACTCTGTGGGTGGGGCACTGGACACAGCAGCTCCGGTTCATGCACAGCAAAGCTGGGGGGCGGGGGCATGAGCTGCTAACCTGAGCGAACAGCTGGCTTGCTGGATCTGCCCTGCTGTTTTCAACCGAGGTTCCCCCCTTTTCCCCCAGTGACAGAGGGGGGGGGGGGGATGCTGGAGCACAGCTGTTCTCTCCCACAAGCCAATATTAAAATCATTTTCATTAAGATGGGCCCTGCAGCATCAGGTCCAGGCCTGGCCCAGCCACCCAAAGCCTCCAGTCAGTAAATGAAATGACCAGAAGGAAGAAGTGG